GGAAATAAGTATTTGACCCCTTGCTGATTTTGCAGGTTTGCCCACTTACAAAGAATGCTTATTTTTCCTCATCAGATGGTTATCAATTTTTATAAATTCATATGATGTGATTTTCTGGAATTTTCTTTGGGATTCTGTCTTTCACTGTTAGCATGTACATATGATTAAAGTTATAGATCGTTGCATTCTTTGGAAGTGGGCAAACCTGCAAAATCAGCAAGGGGTCAAATACTTATTTCCCCCACTGTATCTTCACCTGAGGGTGCCGGCTGGTGAGGTTCTCCAGATGCCTTTTCTGAGGTTTCCCCCTCCAACTCAGACCCCGTCTGGACCCCATCACCTCTTGTTTCCTCCCCTTGATCCACTTGTTTCAGTTCCTGCTGCCCGGCGTCCTCATTCTCTATCTGTATTTGTATATGAAGGCAGAAAGAAAATTTAAAAAAGCAGATTGGGTCAGATTTAAATCACTTTACAGACAGAAACTTAGAAATGTCAAGTTAAATGGGATCATTTACTATCTACAGGACTGTCTCAGAAAATTAGAATATTGTGATAAAGTTCTTTATTTTCTGTAATACAATTAAAAATCATGAAATGTCATACATTCTGGATTCAATACAAATCAACTGAAATATCGCAAGCCTTTTATTGTTTTAATATCGCTGATTATGGCGTACAGCTGAAGAAAACTCAAAAATCCGATATTCTAATATTTTGAGATAGGATATTTGAGACTTCCACTCTTTGGAGTGTTTTTTGTGCCAATAAACCCTGTTTTCTGCATCTCCGCGCCTGAGTCCTCCATCAAGATCCACCCTCCTGACAAATTGGGTCAGATTTAAATCAATTTACAGACAGAAACTTAGAAATGTCAAGTGTTTTTATTTGGATAATTTACTATCTACGTACATCTGTTCATATACTGTGTACCTGAGTGCCCTAAGTACCCACCCCCATATGCAAGTATATAGATGTGTCTTACTCCAGAGTTGTTAAATTTCTACAATACCCAGAATTTCTCTTTCCATTCATTCTCTTACCCAAAGCAGCTCTAATTTTTCAGGCTACTTTAAGACCATTTATTGTTGTTTCGAGGTCGTTAAGTTCTTTGAACAAACAAAACTGGTCTGACTTTAATACGCCCTTTGTTCCAAGTCTGTAGCCTAATCCAAAAAATAACCAACTTATTGTGTGATTGGAGGATTTGCATTGATCTTCTTTCCAATAGAAGAAAGAAACCAAATCAGCTTATCTATCAGCATTCGTTTAAATGTCACCTTTACTGGAATGAGGACGGCGGCGGGGCCAGAGGTCTCAGGAACCGGAGCCTCCACGGTCAGGATGCCATCCACAGAAAGAGTGGACACCATTTTGGTTGCGTCCACCGTTGCCGGGAGCCTGGCAACCGATTTGCAATATCACAACAAGCCAGAAACAAACGTTTGTTTGATCTCATTTTTCAGCTCAGTGATGCGTTCTGCATTCTGCTGCTGGTGTTTGTCAGGCCTTAAAGGGGACATATTATTCAAAACCAAGTTTTTAATCATTTGATTATATACATTTGGGACTGTGGAGGGCCTATCAGCAGGCAAAGTGTGGGAAAAAAATGACTCAGTCATATTTTTCTCAATCTAGGAGATAAATCAGGAGGTTTCAGGAGTGGGTAGTTTCTGACGTCATTAGCTCTAGCTCATTATAATATTCCAGCCTTTCACCTGCATGTTGCCCCCCCCCTCAGCTTACTCCCCTATCTGTGGAGACGCCGTGGTAGTGTGAGCGTTAGCATGGTAGCGTTAGCATGGTAGCGTTAGCATGGTAGCGTTAGCATGGTAGCGTTAGCATGGTAGCGTTAGCGTGCCGACGTGGGCACACCTCCCTGAAGAAGTGGGTGGATTGCCTGTGTCTCATTTGCATTTAAAGAGACAGGCACTCCAAAGCGAGCGCTCTGAACGGGGCTGTTTTGGGTTAGGGTTAGGGTTAGGGTTAGGGTTAGGCAGGGGGACTGAACTGCTATTGGGCTTCATCCTTATGGGATTTTGACCAAAGCTTGTCACAGACATTACATTAGGACACCAGGGAACCAGTTTAACTTGTTGAAATAGGGTATAATGTGTCTCCTTTAAGCCGGGCATCCGCAGACCTTTTTCTACATTTACAGGTTCTTATCCCCTACCTGTATTTCCTGGTGAAACACCTGGCGATGAATCCGTGCTCGTCGGGCTTCTCCTCGTGTTTCCCTGAGGACGGGTTGGAAGAATGTGAGGACACAGATGAACCAGGCGGCACAAAAACACACTCGACACTGAAATTAATTGCTGCCACGGAGCTATGATTTTAATTTCCCTAAAGCACGTTGTCTGAGCCGCCTTCTATTTCTGCAACAGTCGGTTTTCTCTACACCAGTCTTTGGTTTTATGTTTTTTTTTTTGTCTCGGCTCAGAGAAAAGTCTATTTAGATCATTCTGCTGGTTCTTAGATATGAACATCGGAGAGACGATGTTTCTTGGCTTTTATGAAGATGAATAAACGAGGAAAAAAAGGAAAAAAAGAAAAGAAAAAAAAGAAAAAAGAAAAAAAAA